CAGTAGTTCCCAACCACTGGAAGAGAACCACCAACAAGAGGACTGTTTACTTTTTTTTTCTTGGGGAATACTTTCAGCTCTTTGAGAAGGAAAACATTTAGGTTGGACGCCCCAAAGACTCACATCCACAGTGTGGTCATAACCTGTTTACCAGCTGTCACAAGAAAACCATGGTTCATTTTAGGGTATCACAGGCCAAAGAGGTCTGGTCTAGAACAGTTTTCTCAAAGATCTATTCTTTGCCTTCAAAAAAGACAGCAACCTTTAAGCTAAAAGGCAAGCGAAGACTTGCTATAATAGGAAACAATGGGTGTCATAAAAAAAACTTAATTCTGAGAAACACTAGCACTGTATCTGTTCTACTAGCATCAGATCAGGGTCACTCATTTACAGTAACTGCAGCAAGGCTGACAACTTGTACCGATGAAAGGTTATCCTCATGGATTTAGACACGGCTAAAGGCACACTGCATCTCTACTGCTTCAAACAGCTGCCTATATAGATTAGAGTACTGAGTTGGATTTCAGACACTCAGCACTGACATTATCCATATCCTTAAAGCAAACAAAAGTAATAAGCTTTCAGCACAGCGGTGTGAGAACTGACAGGGATATCTTGATTATTAGAGTCTAAGCCTGGAAACAGGAGAAGGAACACCAAGCCACATAATGATGGGTATCACAGTGAGGCCTCCCTCAGGCAGGTCTGAGGGCCTGTCGAGTCCCAGCCCGAGGAGGGCTCTGACAAGGCAGACCAAAACTCTCTGCAGACATGTCTCCCTGAAGAGAGGACTATTACTGCATCAGCAGGGTGCTGCCATGTTTGTCAAGGTATGTTCTGGTGTTACTCATGTGGTTTGTAGATAGAGGGGGGGGAAAGGTGGCATGGGGCAACTTTGTGCCAGCCCTCCCCTTGTTTAAGTTTTAATGTTGGATTTATTATTCAAGAACAATATTTCCATCCATATACTCCCCCCACAGATTCATGAAGCTACGTCTGTAAGCTCTTGAAAGACAAATAAAAAGCTGAACTAATTGCTGTGGATCCCCCCTGGAAATATCAACCTCATAGAGGAGCGTGACAACGAGAAATCAAGCTGTAGCGCAGAGCGGAAAGCCTCCATGAATCACTTTTGCATCCGTACTCGTATACACAGCAGCAGAGGCAGCAGCAATGGTGTCAGTGGCTACGAAATAATCATTGGGGAGGCAATCCAAATTAATACTTCAGCTGAGGCCGCCTCGTTCTCCGTCATTAGGGCACATTACAGGGCCACAATATACATCATTAAACCAGGCATAAACAATTCATTAAAAGGCCGTTAAGAAGACAAGCTAATGTCACTTCTCCCAGTGGAATTAATAGACTGCAAAATGGCAGTGGGTTAAGGCAAAAAGGATCATTCCGCCACTACTATCCAGTCAGTCATCCTGACTAATGACTTCCCTAGCTGTTGTGGATTCTGTAGATGACCCTACTTTTTTCTCAATCACACTTCCACAAGTCTACTTACGAAGCAGCAGGATGATACAGTAACACAATTTACATTTGTTCTGGCAGTGCAGTCTACTATTCACTGAAGCTGGAGAATAAGGGAAAGTGGAATATTAGCAAGTTAATGCATTTGTAGCAATGCTGACACTTTGTTCTTCTGTCAGATTCCTTAGAGAGGACTCTAAGTACTAAAGGGGCCACACAGACACAGAGCCTGCTGTATCAGTCAACAGCCTTCAATTTATTTAAAATGTGATGAAAGTGAAGCACCCGATTTCATCATGACGGAGGCACAATCTTTTCATACAACAGTGGCTCTTACACCGCAGCACAGGGAGCATCACGGCATGTCCTACCAATAGCACAAAGGAGAATCACACATTCAGACTGGGAGAAAAGAGAATTGGGGTCGTCTCACTAACTGGAGATGGGGAGCACACCTTGACCTTGAATCAAACTGCCTCACTGGTCAAAAAGTGGCCACTTGAGAATGATCATTTTTAAATGAACTGTTTTAACAAATAAATGCTGTTGCCGAGTTGCTGTACAGAGTATATATTTGTCCGTGTTTTCATTGTGTTGCTATTGTCATTTGAGAAGCAGTTATCTTAAAATAACTTCCTGGCTTTGGGTGGGCCGGGCAAATGTGATATATGTATGCACGTCTTGGCTTCCAGTCAACCAGCTATAATAAAACTGCTTCCAGATTTAACTACTCAGTGAAGTAGTATTTGCATCATCTGAAGGTGAGGTGAGGGCTTAACGTGTGCCGACACAAGCTGAGTGGCATACTGTTATTCAAGACACAACTGAAGATAAACTGAAAACTACCAGTTTAAACAGAAATGCAATTATAATGGGACAGTCCAGCATTTGGGATTTTTCCATCGACCCCATAACTCAGTTGAAGGACTGATATCTGTTGGACTGAGGGCATCCTGTACTATGCAAAGTCTCTCAGGTCTGTAGCTTAGCTTAGCATAAAGTAGCAGGGAAACTGCCAGCATCAAACCATAGTGAACATTACAACTATTCCATTTGTTTTTTTTTTCTGCAAATATTATCTTCTGTAATGATATTTACAAACCTTAACTCTGCTGGAGAAACACTGAATTCCTCAGCATTAACTTCATATTTTGCCTAAAAGCAACATCTAAAAAAAAATCAGAATCACCATTTAAAATCTCACTATGTGCAATTCAAATGCACTTAAAGAGAGCCAATAAATAACGAGGACGTGACTTTAGTGTCTTTAATGGTAGCTCCAGCACAAGCTAAGTGCACTGTCAAAAGTGACAACAACTGCCTCAACTCAGACAGACAATCTTAATTATAGTAGCAAACTAGTGACAAACAGTAGTAGTCTTAGCACATTCTGCCTGGGAACCTCACTACAAAAGCAGAACGCCTCCAATGCTACATGCAGTCACTGCTGCAGTACTGTCTGCTGAGTAACAGCTCATAAGCCAACTGCTTTTAACACTACAGCATCTTCCTTTAACATTTATTCCAGCAAACAGTATATTCAACAAACAAGTTAGAGTGTGTAACTAACACAGATTTGAGCTTGTTGGGAAGCCTGTTTGTTACTGTATGTGGAATGTGCTAACACGCCTGAATCTTTACCAAGATAGGCTGCAGCAGTACAGTACTTCCATTCTGTGTGCTAAGCTAGGCTAGACACACTGAAGGCAATAAGATGGAACCGATATCATTCCTCTCATTTGTCTTACCCAGGTAAGAAAACACTGTATTTGCTGAAATGTATACTGTTTATGTATATATGGATAATGAGTGGGGTTTTTTTATCACACAGGGAAGTATACAGTTAATTAATTTTTGCATAATAATCAACATAACTAACATACAGTATATGGCATATAAACTGGCCCAATATAGTAGAGAGACTAATGACCAGGTTGCAGAGTATTAACTTTGGTTGAAAGGCATAAAAGCTAAGCACTACAGTCAATACCACATGAATATCACACCACATTCAAACGGGAGGATAAGGCACAAATATTGAACAGCATGGGCTTAAAAGAAAACTTTAAGTTTAAAAAAGAAAAGCTTTTCAAGCACTTCTGCCACACAGCAAATGGGCAATATATATGAACAAAAATGAAATTATCCAAAATCACAATACATTTTTCAGAATCATTCAATTACTGAAACATTTAACTAAATAAGCTATATTTTGCCTCAGTTGCTCCAGTGCTAACATAATTTGTGGGCATGTTGCTTAAGAACACCAACAGCAGGACACCTCAAAGCAGACTCAGTCTGGTGTTACTGTCTATAAGGATGTCGACTGTGCTGCTGGCTTCCTGAGCAAAATACATGTTTAAAAACAAGTTGAAATAAATAAACCCCTGAGTTTCAGGGTAAATTCTGAGCTCACATCAAGTATTTACGCACTCATTTTAACATACTGAGTGGGTGGCTGTAGTCAAACAGCAGTCGCATACAGCTTAAAGTGAATGACAACAGGAAAAGCAACATCATGTAAGCTTTGTAGAACCAGTGACTTTTTAAAAGTCATCACTTAGCTTTGGAATCAAAACAGTAGAGTCCACATCCTAAAAGCCCAACTCTTCTGACTCCCATAAAGTAAAATGGAAAAACGAATCTCCTGGCAGACTTATAAAGCTGACATGAATGTTTGCTTTATTTGGGCCAGATAGTGTTTAGTATCTCAAATAACACAAACTTAAATATGAAACAGTGTTTCAGTTAAAAGGCAGATTTAAACAGGGGTGGAAAGTAACTAAGTACCTTTAACTCACAACAATATGATATAATTAATGACAAATGTGCAATTCTGCATAATGAGCACTTATACTTGTGGCACTTTAAGTACAGTGGGGCAAAAAAGTATTTAGTCAGCCACCAATTGTGCAAGTTCTCCCACTTAAAAAGATGAGAGAGGCCTGTAATTTACATCATAGGTATACTTCAACTATGAGAGACAGAATGAGAAAAACAAATCCAGAAAATCACATTGTCTGATTTTTAAAGAATTTATTTGCAAATTATGGTGGAAAATAAGTATCTCCTCTAGAGCAGAGAAGTTTTGGTCCGTGTTTCCCAGCGACAGGCCCAAAACATCACTGCTCTAGAGGAGATCTGCATGGAGGAATGGGCCAAAATACCAGCAACAGTGTGTGAAAACCTTGTGAAGACTTACAGAAAACGTTTGACCTCTGTCATTTCCAACAAAGGGTATATAACAAAGTATTGAGATGAACTGTTGGTATTGACCAAATACTTATTTTCCACCATAATTTGCAAATAAATTCTTTAAAAATCAGACAATGTGATTTTCTGGATTTGTTTTTCTCATTCTGTCTCTCATAGTTGAAGTATACCTATGATGTAAATTACAGGCGCCTCTCATCTTTTTACGTGGGAGAACTTGCACAATTGGTGGCTGACTAAATACTTTTTTGCCCCACTGTATATTTTGATGGGAATTCTGTATTTTTCCTTTAGTAACATTTTTAATGCAGGGCTTTTATTTTTACACAGTCGTACTGCTACTTTTACTTAGGCAAAGAACCTAAGTATTTCTTCCACCAGGGGATTTAAAGAGAAATTCACCCAGGACAAACAAGTTAGAGCTGATGACTGTGTGTACAACAAACGCCTTAAGTACAGACGGGTGACAAAATCCTGAATAAGTGACTAGAAGCAGAAAATTCAGAGGTCACTGATTAATGTGCCAATAATTCCCTCTGATTTATGTTTTATTTCGCAGGATGTCTAACATTGGGAATGCTCATTTTGACTTTCCAGAGTCAAAGGTGGAATCTACAAATGTCTTGTTTTGCCCAGCCAACAGATCCAAAGATATTCAGGTTATTATCATGTCTGATATCAGGCCACCAATCAAAGCTGTCAATCATTCAAAGTATACCCTTTTTTATAGCCTGTCATTAAATGCCATTAAAAACAATCTTACCAGAAGCAGGATTTATGACTTATACAGAGAAGAGCCACCAGGGGGTGATCGGGTTGCATTGGCTTCACTTCTAGAAACTGTCATGATGTCCATACGCTACACAGTCAATGTGTTTGACAAAGAAAAACATCAGTTCCTCATATTAAAAAAATTGTAACCAGAAAATGTTGATTTTTTTTTGCTTCAAAATAGTTGTCGGTTAATCTTCTATCAATGAATGAACGAATGGCCGCAGCTCTAGGCTACTGAATGACTTAATGAGCAGCAAAAACAGTATGTTGAACAATATGTTTTGGAAGAATGATGCGTCCTCTCCAACCTATCCTGCCTCACGCTCAATGTCAGCTGGGATTGGCTCCAGCCCATCCACCCCACCCTTTTTAGGATAAGCGGTATTGATAATGGATGGATGGATGGATGTGTACTCCCTCTTAAAGAGGAGCACTAAAGGTGTTCTGGACACACTTTATCCCTTCCATTTGTCACCCATCTGTAAGTCTTGTATCCGGGGTCTGATTAGGAAGGCACCTCACATACCACAATCTCAACTGAAGTTTTTTTTTCTAATCAATATATAATTATATCCATCAATAACAGTGTGGTTGAACATTAACAGCAGCACAATGTTTACCATGACAAAAACCATTCAATATAATACTGTCAAAAAAAAGTTAAATAGATTTGTTGGGTCAGGCCTGTTGACAAATTAGACCTGAAATGATTAGTTGATCGATTAGTGATCAAGAGAAAAATCAAGTGCAAAATCTGGATAATTTACTAAGTGCTTCACTAATTTTTTCGAAGCAAAATGCCAAGCAGTCACTGGTTAGTTTCAACATCTCCGATATGAAGATTTGTGCCTCTACTTGAACACAACTGTGAATTGTGTATCTTTGGGTTTTAGACTGAACTGTGTTAATTCTCAGCACTTCTATTTCAGTCTGTCTGTTGTTGATTTTATGCCTTGGGCATTTTTTTTCTACTTCTGCATTTACAGCAAATGTGCAAATTAAAACAAATGTTCCAGTTTGTCTTTTCACTAGTTCTCACACGTTTCTGATGAAAGCAACCTGTCAGTGAATCCCTGGTGCAAGGACAGTTGATGGTGTTTCTTTTAACTTGAGATCCCAGTGTATGATTCTGCATTCGTTTGCAGCAACAGAAATTAGCTTGTGACATTTGCATTTAGGTTTGAATTGACACTGTACACAGTGCACTGTGTGAAATAAGGCTGCATTCATTCCTTTGTTGTGTTCAAAGGACTCAGGAGCTTTGAACACAACAAAACAAATATGATTTATAGTTAAATCTGACTGGCTGATGCAGTCAGGATGAACCTTGTGCACTGGAATAGCCAGTGCACAAGGTTGCTGCTAATTCTGACAAGGCACTGACCAAGGCCCTGATCTTTAAAGAATAAAACAAGCTAACACCAGTATGCATCTGCTAAGTCCTACTTTAGCTTTTCCAACTGTTTCCAATAAGGGTTTGTTTTCACACTTGCGGTGCCTTTTTGCTGTCCTGACAAGATGTTCAAAGGATGACTGCTCACAAATGCTGCCTTGTTTGTGTCTTGCATCCAGTACCAAGGCATATTTTTTTAGCCTTGTGTTGCTTGGGAATACACAAGTGGTGATTCATATTCTGGGAAGATGAAGCAGCTTTACTGCAATGACCCTGATTTCAAGTGTGGAAAATATAACAACAAAAAGTCTCACGTTTTCTTAATCCTGTGACTGGGAGTCTGTAGTTGTTTGTGTTCAGCGACTTAATCCTCAGCCACTCCAACTGCTTTATTTACTGCCCGCTAAAAGTAGATCTTGTCTGTGGTACAGACACAGGAAGGTCTGCAATCTCCTCCAGCATCTGACCTGACTCTTATTCACCCTGGGGCAGTGTTTGCTGGTGAGCACCTCCCTGCTCTTACTTCCTCCAGGCAGTGGAAAATGAGAGTGTGCTGGGGTCACTGAGTGAAACTCTTCTTGATGGCCACATTGGGGAAAAGGCCAGAGAGCTCTTGGACGACCCGCATGTCTATCTGAGAGCAGAAGGACACGTCCAGGAGGAGAAGCTGAGGACATGACTGGAGGAGTTTCTTCAGTGAGGCCACACTCACCAACCGTGTACCTGTCCATTAGATATGTTACAGGAGGGACACAAAGATATGTTACAAAAACACAATATAAGTAAAGAAATACAAGAGAAATAAAGCAAGAAAATCAACAAAAATCAAGTGGAAAAAAAAAATCAGAATATGTCCAGTGTTATCAATAATATCTATAAATGGCACATATTACAACCAAAACACAGACCAAAATATCATGCTTTATGTTTATTATGTGCTACACATGATTTACTTTCCAGCATAAAGACCAACCCAACTACTGTAGCACATATGGAACAGCCAACACACTGGCACATCAGCATACTATGAAATACTCACACTACTGTGCTGTCAAGCTCATCAACTTAAACAACTGGAAGTGCAGTGTCAGTGCAGTGCAGTCACTGTTGTGCAGAGATGTTGCAACTTTGCTTAGTGAGCAGTATTTCACTCATATCAATATCTGGCTAATTATTTGGGTTTCTGTTTGCAGTTCACTTGGGAGTTCTTGAAAACTGCTCAATACTCGTTCAATGTACAGCGATGATTCAATTCTGACCATGCTAGAATCTTAAATAAATGTAGCCATTAATGACATCTGTGTTTATCACAGAAATATGCACAGCTCCCATTTTTATGGCTAAACAATCAGTGAGTGATATGAATGAGTAACAATCATACCAACATATGCAGTACCTTTGACACCGTACTGTATACTAACAAGGCTGTAACTGGATATGACCAAAGTATCACATGCAATTTAAGACAAAAATAAGCAAAGTAAAATAATGGATATGAAGCATTTACATGAACATCTTAAACATTCATTAGAAACATTTAATGCAAGGACAAAACAGTTTCCAGCAATGTGCATATGAGGTGCAAAAATATTTAAATACTTCTGACACAGTCCCTCATTTGTTGATACTCAGGTGTTTAGCTTGTGAGAGGTGCACTGCCTAACTACTTAGATTTTAGAAGAAAAAAAAAAAAGAAGTGCACCCCTACTCCACCCACCACCACCACCAAATGAAACAAAACATAAAATTACCTGTCCAGCAAGAAAATGGCATCATGGTATCACTTTTAAGCTATTTTGCTCTCAATTCATTCAAAAGCCATACCAATGTTAACTTTGGTTTTGGTTCATCCAACTTCTTTTTAGTTATAACCTTCTAGACTAAGGTCTTCCATTTCCAACTGAAAGATGCTGTGGATACCTTCTCAGCCATAGCTCGCTAGCTTCAGCTATCAAAAAACAAAGCAGTAACACATCTGCCTGCATGGCCTTGTGGGAGACTCTCACACCTTGAGCGTATGGGCAGGGTGTGCGCAAGTAGGAAGCTAGACTGACAGGCAGGTAGGCCATCCAATGGTTTTGCTTTATTATTGGTCAGGCTTTTTTCAGCCCTGCTGCTGCCACAGATGACGGTTTTTTTTTCTTTATGTTGTCAGTGCATTTAATATATTCATTGCCATCGGGATCAAAAGAGAATCTCAAGATATGTAACAAAAAATGTTTCTGAAATGAATCGCCAACACTGCCTTTAAAAACATTTTAATAATGTTTGCAAAGGGATATTCACATATGTGTGAGACAGGAGCTTACCCAGTATGTCCAGATGTTGCAGTGAGGGGCAGCTGGTAGCCAGCTCCTCTATGTCTGAGTCGCAGACGGTGCGGTTAGCAGTGAGGAAGAGTTTATGCAGGCGTGGCAGGCTGCAGGCAAGGTGCTGAAAACATCCGGTGCTGCTCTGCAGTGTGGGACACCAGCCCAGGTCCAACTCCTCCAGCATCCTGAACAACCACAGACCAAACAGGAAATCTAACTGGAAATGGATTAGCTCTGTTTTGGCTCTGTGGTCTGCAAGATTGACTTATTCATAATCATAATGTGGTTAAGTGCATTAAAGCATTCAAAAAAAGAATGATAATGTAGTGATGTAACAAACACCAGGTCATTACTGAGAATACTGGAAGAATTTATGGATGTCTATACTGCATTTACATACATTATGAAGACAGACATTTCATCTGCTGTATTACTTTACAGTACAAAGCAGACACTGCTACTCCAGCATAGACAAATCAAAAGAGTCAAATGCAATCATGTTTATTCTCCTAGGTTAAGACAAACAAAACACTGATCCCGTTGGTACTGCCTACCTGCAGCCAGAGACGAGCTCGGCCAGACCTCGATCTGTCAGGTTTCTGCAGCGCCAGAGGTCCAGTGAGCAGAGTGAGCGACAGCGAGCAGCCAGCATACTGGCCACAGCATCATAGTCCTCAATCTGCAGGAGAGGCAGGCAGCTCTTAACATTTGTTTACTCTCTCGCCTGCACATGCGGTATACTGTATGCAGGGCTATGGCCTATCTGCAGCTTCATGGAGGATGTTTGGAAATGAACCCTTAAATATGCAACTGTACACCAGCCTCCTCAAATGCTGCAGTTGATTCAGAAAATATGATTTGTAAATGATTACTATGTTTATATAAGCAGCATTATCCAGAAGATAAGGAGGTTCTTTGATCTTCTCAGTTTATGTAAATACCACAAAATACTGTTCTGCACAGAATTCAATCATTTGCCTTTAGGATGTGATACAGAACAGAGAAAATTATGCTGTGCAAAGGAATGAAGTAATGAGTGAGCCATTTTCCTCTAACGGTCTGTCTTGTGTATTTTGAACAAACTTGTGAAATGTAATGATAATAAAAAGCTGATTAGCTGCACTGGCTGGTTTGAGGCATATAACCTCACTTCCTGTAGAAAGAACAAAGCACCTTCATCAGAAAAGAAAAGTCTTTCAAGAACTGATTTGTGTATGGGAGGCTGTTATTGTTCTTTGGTGTCAGGTAATGTTGGCCATATTTCATCCTTTCATCCAAAGATGAAAGCAAAGAAATGCAATTTAACATCCAAAGAGCCAGTGCAGCCAGGCACCATACCAACTGCAATGACAGCATGCAGATCACTTCTCAGAGTGAACAACTTTGGCTGAAAGAGTCACTGTCATTGTATATTTCCATTGCCAAGTGCTGCATAACTTTATTACTAATGATGGCATGTATACCTTAAGAAAAAGCACAAGAGGAAATGACTGAATTTTTCTTTCACCCATTCTCATTTGCATCAAATACCTCTTAAGTGGATGGAAGCTCAGCTAGTGATGAGGTGGGTGGGTGAGTTGCTGAGTCATTGTGTCAGTCACAGGCAAAGTGAATGAGCAAACACAGATGTTAATAACTGAGGAAGCAATGGGCATCATGTAGGAACATGTCTGTACTCTTATCCTAAATCTATCTTATTCTGAGGATTGGTTATATTAGCATTCCAACTCTGACTCCCCAAACTCTTTTTACTACACATGGTACATGCTCATAAAATATAATTACTACCTGAATCAATGCCCAAAGATAAAGGATGCCAAAAATTTAAAGAGAAGAAAAACATAACACATTTCAAACTTAGGGCCCCTGAAACAAATAGAAAATACTAATAGTATAGCTGATACAACATGTCATCGGAGTAGTGCCACACTGTGACAGAAATAAAGAGGGGGCAGTCTGACATGATGTGGTCTGAGTTTGATAAAACAGGCCTAATGGGTTGTAAAAGTCAGAGATGAATAAAAGACTCAACAGATGTGTTATACTGTCAAATGGTACTGTACAGAGACCTGCATATAGACCCTGAGCAAGCAGTCAAATAACGACTACTGAAATGGTGCCATTGCTGTGCCAGTATAAACCAGTAAAAATTAATAATAAAAAAAAACTTTAAAAGAATGTTAATAATGATATGGTGACCAGAATGTGAATCTTGCATTAAGTTTATTTCAGCTGAATTTAGGATCACATGTCAAATGTCCCACCATAATCATCATGAGTCATGATGTAATGTAATTGTAATAGGGCTCATTCATTAACCTAATAAAATAAAACAAGCTATTCTTTGCATGTCAGAGTGTATGAGTGGAGTGGAGCGAGAATTTCCGTTCCTCGCTCATGGAGCTGTTTGCCCGCTCCTCTCCCCAGCTCAAAGCCACACTAAGCCGCTCCGCTCATTATTGCTCAGCGCTCAAATCAGATTGCATCCTGCTCAAATGGCACTCACTCACTCCAAAACAGGGGAAATAATCTGCATGTATTTCACTTTTAGCTTAAACCGTAGTCTTACATTTCAAAGAACTAAATAACAACTACTACTTTTTTCCAAATAGAAATGATTTATTTCTATTTAGGCCTATGTATCAAGGAATAACACAAAAAGCCATATGTAAAATTCAACGAATCAATGGGTCTAATTAAATAAAAATATACAGTACAACTGTAGGACCTTTCAGTTTCTTCATAAAAGTGCCTTAGGAACTCCATTATTGAGTTTGCAACGGTGGATTTTTGACTGAAAAGTGTTGGATGATTGTGCAAGATACAGATGCATTCTGGGTCTGGCTTGGGCAAATTGGAGTGGTGATGCTCAAATCCTTTAAAAAAAAAAAAGCTGCTCCCCCCGCAAGTATGTATGTAGTATGTACCTGTGTACCTGTACACCGCCCCACCCCCCCATGCTCCCCACTCATTCACGCTCTGCTCACATCTATGTTACACGTAAGACATCTTGCCTACTCTTCATAAATCTATCATACTGCATGCCTTTTACAATAAGGACACACTCAGCAGAACACCACAGAGCGTATATGAAACTATAGTAGGAAATCTGCTTATTACGAACATGAGGAATCCAACAGCTTCAATATTTATGTGAAGACATCCCACGTGACAAGACTCAGTGGCTCTGTGTATTAAGTTGTGTCTGATATATTTTGACTGATGTTATGTTACTCTCCATTTAAGGTGACACTAAAGACACACTTTGAACCAAGGCTGGACAATAAAACCATATTAATTTCAGGATCATTTGATTCGAGTTTTGCTGGCCTCATTTTTTTTACACCATTATTGCTACGCTACTGATGTCTCTGCCATCTTTTGGACAAGCTGCTCTTCAATAAGGCCATATGGAAGGTTGTGTAGTTAACAGCCTGTGCTTTATTTACACTTCTTCCTGGGTGTGTTTGTGTGTTCATTCTCACCCTCACACAGCTCCCTAGGTTGAGGTGTCTCAGCTCTATGCAGAAAGTCAGGATGCTCAGAATAGCTGTTTGCTGGAAAGACAATAAGGAGAAAAGAAAAGGCAGTTGTATTTTATAGTTTTATGGAAAAAAAAACTTGTGCATTTTGATTTTGCATACAAGTTACAGTTATATTTAAGAACCTACAGCATAAAACAGTATTTGCTGTATTGGAGTTATGAGTTTGACAACAAACTAACATGCATCTTATCTCAGTCTAAATCTAAGAGGCATATGTTAAACTAACAATATACATTTAAATAATTGCAACAGGTCCAGATATGACATCAAAGGTCCTCCTAAGTGATTTTCTGTCAGTTGCCTGGTGCACACAGGTAACAATTACTGTACTTAAGAGAATTTAATATCGCACATGAGATAATGTTTTCATCTGCTCACAGAGTCAGCACAGTGAGGACACAGACCTCTCCAGTGGCACTGTAGCTAGGATGGAGGTATGGGAATTCAACACTGCAACTGCCACCACATGCACCTCAGTGGCAGGAAAAAGTGTCAGACATGTAAATGTAAGCCTCTGTGTGTGTGTGTGTGTGTGTGTGTGTGTACACTCCGGTCTGTCGCTGGCATCTTTATAAACACCTTTCTCCAGCGAGCTAGCCATTTAATTAGAGCAGTGACAGGGTAATGACAGCTGAGATGTCAGGGCCTCAAGCAGACACACAGCTCGCTCTGTCTGCCTGGATATAAACAACTTGCAGCATGCTGACTGGCTCCACCGCGGAAACTCTACACTGCCTCCTGCCCACAATGCCGCTCTGAAACATGACAAACACTAGAGAAACCCTGAGGTATAACACCAAAACACAAGGCAGTCGTTTTACACGTGAGACAGGCCTGAACCTGAACACTGTACGTGTCTGAGACCCCTGTGCTCGGAGCTGACTCAGTTCATCTTAAAAGACAACAACAGAGAATTATCCGCGCCAAGCCCAAGACATGGACTGTCAAATAAGCTGGCTGTGGAGATCATTAGTCCAGCATCATGACAAGATTTGCAAAAGTTTTATTAAACTGAAGTTAAAACTTTCCTATATTGATACTGTAATGAAGTTATTTTGTATGTACAAAACACACTGTAGTCAGTGGATAAAGCAGAGGTTCCCAAATTAGGACTTAAGACAACCCAAGAGGTCAAAAGACACATATAAAAGGTCATGAGATACGTTAGGAAAGAAGAGGAAAACGTTTCTGCCAAACAAAATGATGATAAATCGGCTCTGATTCATGTGAAATGCATGTGAAAGAGTTTTACCTCTTCAGTACTTAAAATGATCATGATTTGGGTTTATACTGCTCTCTAGATATAGATTTATATACCCTCTAACAAAACTCCACAAATAAGCATGGCATACCATATGACCTTTCACTGCTAGTCAAATGTCACAAGCCAAAAAAGTGTAGACTTATTAGGCTAAAGTCTCAAACAGTCTACTACAACTAAGCTGCTTCTAGTCTTCTTTTCAGAGACGACATACAACATGTATTTTCTGTTTGGATATTGAAAAAGTTATGTCATGTATAATGCCTTTTTGTCACTGAAAAACACAGTGTGGCTGTACGGCAGTTTTTATTACTATTTATTTTAGCCACAAGTCCCCCTCTAGACAAAGTGTGCACACTTCACTGTGCATAATAATGTGCACAGTTTACCCCCACAAGGCTGTTCATATTCATCTGGTGAAGGGGGAAAGTTTCTCTGTGGATTATTCCAAGCAAAGTGTCCTCATAATATATGTCAGAACATGTCTGGAGGGGCCCTTTTAGAGCAAAATAAAGCTTAATCAATCAATTAGAAAAGTGGCCCTTTCATATAAGCTGTCTACTGCCTTGTAATTTGACATACAGTTAGATAAATTAGCGTCTTACATAGTACAGTTTTTGAGATGACTTGCTTCTTATGCGCTTGGTGACCACCTTAAATCTCAGTTTCAAATGAGGAGATTCTTGTAAAATGAAAGCTGAGTGAACTATGCAAAAATTTAAAAAATATATTTGTTTAGCTTTATTATTATTTAAAATCCAGCTGTAAGACTTATTTTATAATTTGTACTCAACACCTTGTAGTGCTTAAAGTAGAACAACTAAAATACACATTGTTTCACCACTACTAAAGCAAGGTGAACTATATCTTACATAGTTGTCATGTGATCCTAAAACTCCATGAAATTTGCAGAAATCGACCAAATTCTCTGAATTTTTCCCTGTATCAACTACATTTATCAATGTCCCTTATATTCTAGAAATTCAAAGACTATTGGAAGTCTTGTACAATTTCTTCAGAATCAGACCTGGGAGGGTGTATTCAACTCAATATCAATTAAAACTGGCAAAAAATATCAGCATGTAGGCTGCTTCTATATGGTAACTAAACAACCTGTATATTTCCAAATTACAGCCAGGGTAACCATTTTGGACACAGAGATATCATTAACCAAGCAAAGTCCACACCTGAAAAAGGCATTTTGATTGTGGTTTCCCAGATACAATGTTGACCATGCCTACCTCTATCTTTGTTCGGTAGAGCACCAACCGGCGGAGGCGAATTAACCTGGAAATATGAATGAATGCCTGTGGATGGAGGCGATCGCAAGAGGACAGGTTAAGCTCCTGCAGCCCTGGACAAGTCTGGGAGATTACCTCCAGACAGGCCTCATTTAGGAAGTGGCAGCATGACAGCTCCAAACAGACCAAGCTGAGACCACAAGCCTTCATGAAACTGGGGAGGGAGATGGAGGGAAATTAGTAGGAGACAGTGAACACACAGAAAATGAATTAATCCCATATTAGTAGCCCTAGTCTTTCTGTTCTTACCCTTTATCAGAATCATTTAGTCTAGGTTTATTATGAATTACAGACAAATGTTTCCTTTTCTCAGCATGTCTTTACCTCAGAGCAAATGCTTACACTTTTATGTATTTTTTTTTTGTTTTCCAAGGTCATTTCCAGTTTTCTACCACTTGTGGCCTGCTGACAGCCTGACCTGCTGAAGCCGTTCAGGGTGAGAGCGCCGCGGTTGCCAGTCCAGGACAGGTTGAGCCTCTGGAGGAGGGTGCAGCGGCCCTGCAGGTGTCCCAGAGAGGCATCACTCAGCCGGGCCCAGTAGGGCTGCAGACTCAGCTGGGTGTACTGCAGTGGGTCGCAGCAGTGCTGGTGCAGCAGCTTACAGCTCTGGGCCAGACGGCAGAGGTCTGGCAGGGTCAGGTGGCTCAGTATCAGCTGGATGAGCTGAGGACAGAAGATGGGGAGAGGGGGTTAGGAGAGGAGAGGAGAAAGGAAAGGGCAAGATAAGGAGGGAGGAAAAGTTCAACAAAACCTAAGACTGTTAGATCTGACAGGAGAACATGGTGGAAAACTAAAAACAAAGTAAAGAATGTTAATTGTATCTAAGCAGTGGTAGACACAAAGCACTGATAGGTGGATCAGTGGTGGGGTGAGCCAGCTTGTTCTGCAGTGTGCTCGTGTGAAAGAATGATCGTGTGAGTGCACGCTGCAGTGAATTAACAATACACAGTGTTCAAGCGGGTATCAGCTGACAGATAATAGCTATATTGTGTTTCGGAAACAAAAACACAGCAGTTAGGAAGACAGCTGTTAATGGCAGCGGTTTGGAGAGGAGATAAGGGAACAAATAGCAAGAGTACTCCCGGTGTTTTGAAGCTCTCCTCTGACAACACGACATGGCTGTGTGGCATGAAAATGTGTCTGTGAGTGTTTATGAGATCAAGTGTCAGAATGGGTCCAAGCCATAATGTCCATGTGTTTGTATGAAATAATGGTAAATACAGTGATTTTCAGACTAGCTACTGTTAATGACCTTTATCAGGGGTCAATTTATACAGATGATTCTGAGACTAAATAACATTGTAACAAATGATTATATGCATTATTATTAGGGACAGAGGTGGCAAAACATAACGCATATAATCATCTTTTACAAAGAATCAGTGCTTAATATTCTCTAGTTCCTGTGTCTTGCAGCTTTTCCATTGTACATTAAATATGTTCGCATTTTTGTCCAGTGGTCAGAAAAACATAAGAAATTTGATGATGTAACTTGTTACTAATTTGTAAAAAAAAAAAAAAAAAAATGTCCATAACATTAGAGAGATAAACAGATTACAAAAATAATCAACATAATGATTATTAAAACTTACTTTCAGGTATACAGTGCACCAACACAGTAGCATATTAACATGCAAACTAAAAAAAAGCACAACTCTGCCCCAGCTTTGAGCTTGACAGGGACAAGCTTAAACCTCTGGTGGTGGTAGTGCTATGGAGGAAGGCTTGCTCGTCCTTGTGCGTACATGTGATTGACAGGATACACAGTGGTTCACACTATTCCACTGATCCACAGGTGGCAGTAATGAGCCAAGAAACGCAGCTAAGGACCAACAAAGGTAGGAAAGGAGAGTGCAAGCTAGTAAACATGGATGCGAATGGTACATGATATAATAATCTGCACTGCAAATGTTTTATAAGGAGGCAGATGCATTCAACACATTTGTTGACCTCATGAATGCACAAAGTGTTTTGGTGAGAAATGTTCACTGTAAACAGAACTTTTGTTTACAACAAAACTCCAAAAGGCATCATTGATAAATAAATCTGTATGAAAATGATTAAATGCAATGCTTAATAGTGGTCATAAATATTCATACCCCAACCAATATCCTGTTCAGCATCTGTAGAATCTCTTCTGAAAAGGAAAAAAGGATATCTATTCTTTCTCCAAGCCCTGAGTGCACACATCACTCTGGTCTGTAATCACCTCATACGGCAGTTTGTCAAAGTAGCCGTTGCCTGTCCTCTTGCCATCTCCTCCTTGCCTAAAAGGAGCTCCCAGGTCAGATGGCTCCTCCTCACTGTCACTCAGGTCACTAATGTCGATGATAGGCATCTTATAGAGGGCCAGCATGGGCCTCTCTTTTACCCCGCGCAGGATCACAGCATCCAGCTCAGTGTAGTAGTCCAGCAGAGAGCTGTTGACCTCCAGACGAAGCAGGTTGGTGGGGAAGTTGATATGCTTGATGGTGGGGGAAAACTGTCGTGCCTGAGGTGTTAGCACCTTGGTGGGCTCCCCTGACCACAGCACCTCCCACCTGGATAAGAGAAATTGCCAACAACACCATTCTTTAGGATGGCCAACTAGGGTCTATGTGGAGAGCTGGCTAAAATTTTTGAAAGGGACAGAGGGCGGGTGGAAGCAGTTTTGTCATGAAGGATATCAAGTGGGCACCTTCAGTCACTGTTGAATTTTCCTTGCTCATAACACAGTTCATGGGTGGGCTCCAGTCTACCTTAATACAGAACATGGCATACAGCCATGGCCAAAAATATTGGCAGCCTTGCATTTCTGTCAGATAACACACCACTTCTCACAGAAAATTGTTGCATTGCAATCACAAATTCTTTGGTATTCTCATGTTTTCTTTTTCTTTTGTTTGCATTGGAACAGAAAAAAGCAGTGGGAAAAAGCCAAATCTGATCCATTCCACAAAGAATTTGTGATTGCAACAATTTTCTGGGAGAAGTGGTGTGTTATCTGACAGAAATGTAGGGGTTCCCATATTTTTGACCATGATTGTATAGCAGACCTACAGTTGTTAACAGTGACACTTACAATGCTTTATATAGCTTACTGTATAACACCAGACCACACTGATAATCCATCACAACAACACGCCCTGACTTTTGTCTCACATTGCTCATCTTCAGCTGCTGTTTTTGTGTGTGCTTTATGCACTGATTCCAGTGACCTCTGTGAACAACACCAGTACAGACTGCTGGTTTGACAAAAACAGCAATGACTCTAAATTACTCTTAAAAACAGAATTGATTCACAAAAAAAGGATTGAGTTAAGAACTATTGTAGCCTCTGCTGCCCCCACTGCTGACTTAAAGAGGACAGATATACAAGTTATAGTTCGATTACACTATGTATACTAGGTTTTATCTGTTTGTTTTGTCTTCATTTTAATGTTTCATCTGTATGCATTGTGTTAAGTTCTTTAAATTGCCTTTGTGTATGAAAATATGATATATGTGCTATATAAATAAACTTGCATTGCCTGTACACAGTAATATTCTAACAAACTGTCAGATTTTTACATTTTGGAACTGTACAACATTTAATTCAGTCACGGCTCTGCTGACCCCAACTGGCCAGTCACATTTGAACTAACTGTATGCAGGATGATGATCTTGTATTTCTAATCAGTATCCCCTATGTATATACAGTATATACTGTCATGTAGGTTGACAAGCAAGTCTAACAGAAGTGGTGCTTCAAGAATATAGGTTTTCATCTTTCTAAATCACACAAGGAACAGGAGTTCGTTATGAGGCATGAGAGATGAGACCACTGACATTTCATTTTGTACATGTCCAAAATGTATGAAATCGTTACTCTTTTCTTATATTTCGAAAAACCACCACACCCACCAAGATCTGGTTGAAAATATATCAGTCAATGATTACTTCTATTACACTGACTGTGGGAGGAAAATAGGGCCCATTCATGAATTAACAACTGGGATAAATTTGAATTTGGTTAATGACCAGCAAGACTGGGTTTTAGTGATGGTTCTCAGGTTGGCTTTATACAAGTAACAACCTTCTGACACATTCCTGGAATTTTATTCACACCACATCACACGGCCTCACAAGTTAAATTAGAAAGGGCTGATTTAATAATCAAATATCACCTTTATTTGGCAAGTCAGATGAACCTTTAAAGCTGTTTGTATCACTGGAACATTAAGTTAAGCTAATACTAACAAAACAGCACAGTCTCTCACCATTTAGTGAATGATGATTGCTCACTCTGTCCTGTATTTGAACTACCACTAATGTGTGTGTTTTACAAACATGGGAAAATAATAAAGAAAACCCAGTACTACAAAATAAATTCGAATGCTAGGCATTCATTTGTAATGCATGACATATGCAATAAGCACAAAATAATCAGTCAGCACCTGGTGTTCAAGCCAGCATTCAGACTGAGTCCAGTAAAATGCAACTGCCTGCTGTTTTTAACACAAGGGTCTGCGTTGGTTGAGGGAGGTGAGAGGTTGCAGAGAGAGTGTTGTAGGCGTGCATGATATAGCCATGCTGTGATGAGTCGATGTAAGTGGCCTCATTCATTCCAGCCAGCTAGTTTTTGTTGTGTTTTGGTTAGCAATGCTGCTAACGTGGCCTACTCTACATTAGCACCAATTCCTACCAGCAGTGTGTCAGCATGGATAGATAAAAAAATAAATAAATGGAACAGTTTAACATCCAGTGCCCCAACTAATGAAAATACATGGTGTGTCATAATGGTGCATTTGTAACTCTGGCCCAAACTCGAGAAGGAACACCAGTGAATGCTCATGCTAACAAGGTAAATAAAAGAGTCTTCTTCCCATGGGTGTCCACGTTGTGACCGTTCCCTGTACAAGATTGGTCAACGTAGCACCTTTGCCGGATGATGTCACCACCCGGTGCAGAAAAAGTAGAACCAGATCCAACTTTTTCACTACACAAGGCTGCAGTGTTTTGCCAGAGCCCACTGCGGTGCTGGCACAGTCTGTGGCAAATGCAATCCCCCATAGACATGAATGGGGAGAGCTGAGTTTTTTCACACCTTTGAAACTCAGTCTGAACACAGGCTAATACTGCTAGTGTTCATTTCAAAATGCCAGAGGCTTGAAATCTACTTCAAAACTGGGCTAACAGTGTTCATTAGTTTAACATCTTAGAATGAAGAGTGATGGTTTTCCTAGGACAGATGATTGGTGTTACCTGACATCAGTAGGTGGGTTCTGGGAGAAAGGGTTGTGAGAGCAGGCCAGGATCTGGACAATGGCTCCAGGGTAATAGGTTTCCAATACTTCCACTGCTGTAGGGTAGACAGGCTCCTCAAAGCCCAGCTCAATATAATCCTGGCTGTAGAAGCCTTTAGGTGTGCGACGGAAAGGTGGTGGAACACTGGCACACTGCTCCCACCATGTCCCATAAGCTCTGAAAACAGCAGTCTGGGTGAAGTCCCCGGAGCTGGGGTACACGTTGGGTACACCAGCCAGGTTCCACATGGTGTAGGACATACTATTCTCACTGCCATAATGAGAGCTGAAGTCCAGAACCTCCTTGGCATATTGCTCCACCTCCACACTAACTGGCAATACCGCCCGCTGGCCTGACTCCACAGCCCGCCGACTGGTCAGAGCCTCACCTCGAGTCCCACTCCTGGAGCGCCGCCGCAGACAGATATAATAAAACATGCTCAAGAGGGTTAACATAGGGAACTCTGGGACTGATGGGGCAGTAGGGAGAAAACAGCGGCTAGAGGGAGGAAGAGCCTCCACCTACTGGAAGCACACTGGTTCAAGGGCAGAGGGAGTTCAAAGCGTAGGATAGAGGCTTGGCTGCATGCATGATCTGTAGATTAGGCAGAGACAAACACATACAAAAGTTACAGCTAGACAGCAGGTCTGAGACTCCACAAGGTACACATCCTGTTTGTCCCTGATATCAATTAGAATATTTTGAAAGCTTTTATACACATTGATTTTTTTTAACTGTTTAAGGGGCAGGAATGTGCATCAGCAAAAAATGTTGCTATCAACAGCTCCTTGTGTATTTGGAGCACTTACAGGACAATTTTCAGGGGACAAAGGCTCATAGAATGTGAAGGTAAAGCTGAGATGTGTAGAGTGTAAAGCTTATTTACAACATTTATGATGTCCTGCCATAGGTGTAATACATCTTTACTTAGCAAACACAGCTAGTGTCGATGTGATTCATGGTGACACTGCCTATCTACAGTTGCCACAGCTACTCTATCATCAAAAGGTAGCGTAGTGCCACTGCATACACATGATGGAAAATACCCATTTATATTAAGGACTAGTCTCATGATAACATATATTGAGTTATGTTTAGCAGAAAGTGACAGCATGTTTATCAGGTCAAACTGTAAAAGTCAAAATGCATGTTAATACCCCAAATCAAAAAGCTCTAGCCTGCATATTTTAAGTCTTCACTGACTGGTTTCCTCTGGATGTTGTAGCACCTCGATAAAGTACACGAACAGGACTGGCAGGAACAAAATTCTGTAGGATGCTAGGGACCTCAATATGTCGGGTCTGACACTCTTGCTATACATGTTTTAGCATCACTTCGTTCATTTAATTTGTTACAATTCACCAGTACAGCTACAAAGCTGTAGGCTGCAGTGAGTAGTGTACATTTTGATGACTGTAAAGGGACATGTTAAATCCCACTGTAAATAAAAGAACAGTCCAATCAGCATTAACATGTTATTCCAAACAAAAATGGAACCAATCCACTCGCAGGTCTTTTAAATTCCTGACTAACAATGGAGGACGATTCAATTCAAGTTGTCACTGATTTCTAATGCTGACGGGAGCTTCAACATCAGTGTTTTTATTAACGCTGATAATAAACACAAGCTCTACAGCAGTACAGGAAAACGGCACACAAGCCATTCAGGCTAACGTTAGTCGTCAATAAGCTGGGTCTGTCAACGCTTCTGTTTTTAAGCGTTGGCTAGTTAAGTCTAGCAAAGTGTCTTTTCTTCTCTGGCTTTCTTCGTGTACTGTGGACATTTTACTGAGCGATGAATGCTAAAATAGCCAAAAACTTCGGCTAACTTTAAAGCCTCTTTCCGTTTTTGCATTAGCATTAACTAAAATAACACAAATATAAAATATATTCCACGGAAAAATATTTCTGAACACCACAGTTCTATAAAAATGATAACATGACTATTAATTGATGCTAGGGAAGTTCCAATAGCCATAAGGGTAAACTAACGTGTTGTTTAACTGTAACGCTAATAGCTAGTGTTAGCCAACATTAGTTAGCCTGCTAGCTTACAGACAAGCTGAGCTGTCAAAACGTTACTCTTGGCTTCCGCCACTAGCTTTGCAAAACTTATTAAAAAAAATCAAAGAGGACATAAATTTAATTTACGATAAACGTAGATCGATATATCCATTCATAGGGTGCAATCCTCTTTTTCGGTTTATCAAGACACTTCAACCACCAACACACATTCCTGTCGTTTACCTTGTGATGCCTTCCTAGACATTCGGACAATGCTAAACGCATTGGGCGCACACCTATAACCAACCATTCGATTTGAAAATAAGGCCGACAGACTTTTACCTCTGATATCAGGTTCTTGAGGTTTTAAGTTAAAAAAAAAATAAAACTTCATGCCAGCAAGAATCGTTTCAACAATTTAGGATAAAAGCAACACATTAGACTTTGTAAAATGCGTTTTTCTTAACTGCCTCGCTGTAGTACAGACTACGTGGATGTTGCGTTGATCCTCAATTATGACATAAAACTAACAATAACATCTTCATCGAACTTGGCTTCGTTTCATTTAGAAGGGGCATCTGCATACGCAGATTTTAAAATATCCGAAACTGTAAAATTTTCACTAGGAACAGTAAATGTCCCACAACATCCGGTCAGTAGTGCAAGGGATACCGGTATGTATAGATAGATAGATTTGGGAGGGAGGGGGGGGGGGAATAA